CATTAGTACTGTATTATAAACTTCCCTGGGACAACGCGCTCGGGCCTCCCTTCTGTCCCTCTCTCAGAGAGGCGCTTTCTTTCCCTCAATAAATATATTCTGCTCGTGAAAAAAAAAAAGAACTGTGTTATAAAACTATTGAGCCTAATACTTCGGGGGAAGAGGTTGTGTGTGTGCGGAGGTGGGAGGGTTAGTGTAGAGGTAGGGTAGTGTGGTTGTGGTCTTGGTTTTCTTTGCAGTGTTGGCAGTCAAATCCAGGGCCTCACACATGGTAGGAGAGTGCTCTACCACTGCACTGCACCCCAGCCCAAAAGGTAGCTCTTTGACAGCTATACTTTTTCTATAACTTACCTGTTTAAATGTTTTTATCCTCTTTAATCAGTTTTGTTGTTAAATTAGATTTTCCTTTCATTTACTTCTATTAATTTTCAAATTTATTTGCCTGAAATTGAGCAAAGTGATGCTTAAAAAATTATTTATTTATTTGATACAGGGTCTTGCTATGCAGCTCAGACTTGTAGTACTCCTCCTGTCTCAGCCTCCCCAGCGCTGGGATCACAGGTGTGGCCTACCACACCCAGTTTTGGTTCATCAGCTTGGTGCACCCTGGTTCCAGGACCCACATGGCATATGGTACCAGGGATCAAACCTAGGTCCTTGCGCTTGCCACCACCAAGCTGTCTCCCCAGTCCAAGCAATGTATTCTTAACAGGAGTTCTTTTAGTTTAGTTTTCCTCCATTTATACCTGTTTCCTCATTGTCCTCCACTACATCCCTTTGTTGCTTTGGTCAGGCTAGAGAATAGTCCATTATTTTTATAGATAACTAACTGGGTTTATTGATTAATTCTCCTTTCTTTTCTTATACTTGATATCTTTTTTCTTCATTTTCTTTTTTTAGATTTGCTTTAGTTGATAATATACTTAATTTTCATACTTAATCACTACTCTATTAATTTGATGCTTTCTTATTTTATAGAAGTCCTAAGTTTTGTTTTTTGTTTGTTTGTTTATTTGTTTGTTTGTTTTTGGCGGAACTGGGGATTGAACTCCGATCCTTGAGCTTGCTAGGAAAGCTCTTATTCCACTGAGCCATCTCCCCGGCCTAGAAGTCCTAAGTTTTAATGGGGAAGTATGTCATGTTTTTCTTTTATAGCCTTTTCTTTTCATGTTTTTAAAATTTTCTGCATTATCACCCCATTATAAACTTTTTCATACTTTTGTGATTTATTCTTCACTGTAGAATTTCATTGTGTGAGGTAGCATTTAAATTGTTATGTTTCTATGTGGAACTCTGAGGTTAATTTCAGATCATGATTATAATTTAAGTTCTATATTTTTAATTTATCAGGCCAACCACAATTATGTTCCAGTAAAAGGTGAAAACAATAACAAAGCCAGGAATGATGCTGTAATCCTAGCACTCTGGGAGGCGGAGGCATAGGGATCACAAATTTGAGCTTAGCAAGCTTGGACAACTTAGCAAAATCCTATCTCAAAAAGTTAAGAGCTAAAGATGTAATGAAGAGTGAAGGCCGTGTTTAATTCCCTAGGGGGGAAAAAGTCACATGGAAATCAGAAAACTATAGTTATCCCACTGGTTAAAAGTAGAAATTACAAGTAGGATACCCTTGCTTCTGAAAGAAGAGTGGTATAAACGTTTCCCCAAAAAACCTGTTTTCTTTCCAGTTATCTAGAGACATAGGAGTGCCTCAGAATCAATGCTTGAGCTGAACTGTAGTGACACTGATGGATTCTAACAGCTAATATCTGGAGCTTCCTATCACCGCTATGAGAGCTGGTTTTTGAGCAGGGTTCCACTGATGAAGGCAAACCAAATGGCGAGAGACAGGGCGATAGGAATGGAGAGTGCGAGAAAAAGAGACAAAATTCTCTATAGATTTGCAAGCTGTAATCCCAAAACACTGTTAAAAAAAAAAAAAGATAGGAGACATCTACCAAAAGCAATAATAAAAAGGTGGATTCACGCTCAAATGAAATGAAATAAATTGATTTTATTAAAAATTTA